ATAAAAACAACAAAATTCTTGTAATTGGGTCTTTTTTTAAGGGTCTTTCTACATTAGTATTGTCATAATTGGAACTTTTTTGAGAATCTACATTGTTTTTTTTTTCTCTTCGCTGATACGGGTCAGGTTGTCCTTCAGACAGCTTAGAAATTTCCTTAAAATTGAGGCCTGCTGAATATCTTTGCTTTTTCAGCTGTAGATGAATTATAATATGATGGTTAATCCCAATTTTTATTGGTAATACAACATTCCAAGAGTTGTTAGTGGGTGGTGTTGACTACCCACCTTTCCTTTAGTCCATCACTTCAAAATCAGAAACAGCTAGTGCAGATAGTCCTTAAGTAACTTTGTGCAAAATATATATGTATATTATTAAGCCATAGTAGCACAAATATGTAGGTTTAAGATTTTTCATAGTTTCTCTAAATGTTCCTTTTGTTTGTGAATTTTGAAGGTATCTGCATTTTAAATTATAGTTGTTTGAAACCTAAAGAAATTTTCTTTAATGAGAGGACATAAGGTAACTACTTGAGATAAGGGTAAGCATATACAGTTGAGAGATGGGTTGAAATGGTATTGGGTAACAAACAATACTTTATTAGAAGTTTAATATGGTAACAAATATACGACGCTTGGAGAAGATTGTCATCATCACGTACAAGTAGTTTACCTAGACACAGGAATATATATGCACATACATACATATAGTATGAAACAACGAAATCACATTACTAGAGATTGCTTAAGGTATAATAAAGATATTTTGTTGATGTTTGGTTCCTTGTTTAGAATTACAGTGTTTTTACTTGTTAATAGATACACTATGGTGTTTTAAGTTGTAATGTTTGTAAACAGAAAGGTTATTATTATGCTCACCAAATGAAATCAGTAATACATAAAACATTATTATTATTATTACCCTTATTAGTGACAGTAAAATATGCTTTCATTATTTCTGTAGATACAACCTAAAATCCTACTTGCCCTACCACTAGCAACAGCACACTGTTTGGATGACGTAAGAGACTTATCAACCACTACACCAAGATCCCTTTCTTTTATAACACTGTTAAGGTTATTTCCATCTAAGTTATATTTATAATTCAAATTATGATAACCTATATGCATTACCTTCCATCTATTATAATTAAAACCCATCTGCCATTTACTTGCCAAACTCACTAAATTATCTAAATCCTTTTGTAAAGCATCCTCCTCCTCATCCTCACAACCGCCAACACCAAAGACCTTAATATCATCAGCAAATTTAAGTAATTTATTGACCATTCTTTCATCTATGTCATTGATGTAAATCAAAAAGAGCAAAGACCATAAGACTGAGGCCTAAGGTATCCCACTTGTAACCTTAATCCAGTTTGACTGAACTCCATTTATAACAACTCTGCTTTCTTCATCCAGCCACTCTTCTACCTAATTAGCTAACTTTTTCTACAGAGATACTTTTTTTATAATCTTTTTACATGACATCTTGTCAAATGATTTCTAAAAATCCAGATATACCAAATCTACACCCTTACCCTTACTTACATAAGTAGTAGCTTTTTTAAAGAATGTCAAAAGATTTGTAAGGCAAGATTTTTCCCTCAGTGAAACCATGTTGACTGTCCAATAAAATTCTAAACTTTATTAAATTACTTTGTGAAGCATCTTTTATTATACTTTCCAAAACTTTTCCCACAACTGATGTAAGACTGATAAGCCTATACTTACTGGGACAATTTTTATCACCTCCCTTGAAAAGAGAAGTTGCATTAGCTAACTTTCAATCCTCTGGTACCTGCCCACTATTGAAGAACTGACAAAAAATAGTAGCAAGTAGTTCACATATCCAATCTTTAACCTCCTTCAAAACCCTTTGGGAAATATTATCTTTCATTATGTTTAAGACTGTTTTTATTTTAATGACATGGCTGAAGTTTAAAGATACTCAATTTGGGCAGCAACTGGCATATGTAAGTCATGAATGCCTGGAATGAGAAAATCTGAAGTATCCCACTGCTAATGGCTATCATATACTAAAAGATTTTATTATTAAAAGTAATGGTTTAAATGTCAAAAGCTAGTGAAGCATTAAAAGCCAACAGACCTAAGATTTGTGTTAATAATGAAAAATTAAGAGGAATGTGGAAAAAAGAAAAACAGGTCATGTCATTTTTATTTTGTTAAAACCTAAACACAGTATTTTTAAATATGCTGCTGACAAAAACTGCACTACAGAGGTTAGATGTTGAGAGTTTAGCCAGCTGGCCCACATGTTAATTGCCCTGACAACTAATCAAACAAGTTGAAGCTGCAATCTTGCCACAAATAATGAGAATCTATATTCAGGGTGCAGGAATTTTGGACCTAAAGACTGGGACTTATCTGTAGGTCTAAGGTGGGTCCAGGGAGAGTAGCCCCTAGTTTTTAACATTTCGGAAGGTAAAAAACAGCCTATTCTTTATATTTTCCTTAATTTAATTATGGAATAGAAAACATCTTTTGATGTGAGCAATCATTGATTTTTCATTCTGATGACTATTCCACTTCTATGTCTACAATGATTTGCACTAAACTCTTCATCATTAGTGATATGTAACCTATAATTTTCACTCTACATTTGTCTTACCAAATATTTATCCAATTTCATACCTTTCATGGTTTTGATTTGCTGTTGTCTGCAAGCAAGTCAATGCACTAGCATTAAAATCAAGGAAGAAGGGGAACAAGAGAAATATAAATTTTAGCATAAAAGTTAATGAACCAAACAAAAATCATGGAATAAAGACATATATTGAGAGAAATACATGCACATTTTTTGAATTAAGAGATAGGCCTTATGGTAGTGGTACACAATATGAAATTACTGTTGCTTTGTATAAAACTTTTATTAGACTAAAGATGGAGTACTGTATTCAGTTGTGATTCCATTACACTGTATAAGAGACAAAATACTGTTGAAATGAGTGCATGGAAGCACTAACATGCTGAATCTTTGACATTTTCTTCATGGAGATGGGTTGATCGAAAGACTAATTTTCTCATTCAAAATCATTGAAGGTTTAGGATAAGCTAACAAAAATAGTCTCTGAGTTCTCGTTTGACAAGATAAATGATAAGAAAATACACATACATACAGTATTTATACAGAACGAATTTTCCTTTGATATATAAACTTTTGGAATGGTTTCCTGGTGACGTAACATATAGTCTAAATGGGGATTTGAAAATATTTGTGGGATAGTTATAAATATGGACAAAGCTGCATTAATCATTGGCTTAATTCTTGTTTATTATTTCATTCATATTTACCTGGCAAAAGTTTAGTTTTAGGAAAAACCTTCTTATATTCTTCATCCATCAGTTCTATGTATTGTTCCACTGTGACAGGTAAGTCCATTTCAGAGATGATTGTTTGTGCTGCTATTCTTGCTGTTTTTCCCATACACTTAACTTTAACATCCCAAGTGTAAGTTTTACCAAACCTACTTGTTACTGCAGAGATGGCCTCCGTATATAATGCTTCAGAATCTGTAAAAAGAAGTAACAGAAACTCCTTTTAATTAGATCCAAGTTCTATTATAAATCAATCTGAAGAATTATAAGTTAACAAAAAAGAAAACATTTGTTTCCCATTGATATTGTACTTCCATTTATTATGACAGGAAATACTTCTCTCATGTATAAAAATGAATACTACATGCACAAAGGCATAAGAAAATGTTACTCAAAAGCTCCAGAATGATTTCATATTCCTGGAAGGCTTAATATGTAAGTACAAAAAATAAAAAAAGGGAAGGAACCACAAAGTACAGCAAATAAAACTCAAGTTTCGTAGCTGAAAACTTAGTGATATAATTGGATAATAGGTACTGTTGTTAAAATAGGTTAACTTAAAAGTCTGGTAAGTTTTATCTCCAGATTAAGAAAAGTGAATACTTGGGGTCTAAAAACAAAACACGTGCTTACGGTTATGCCTTGAAAAAAAAGGGGTAGATTGGGATTTTTAAATTTTTTTGTACATGTTTTCTATTCTTATATAAGTCTTAAGACTGTATTTCTTTGAAGAATGGTTACCAAACAAAAAAGGACATGTAATTACTAGGAATAACAATTCTGACAATTTCAACAATTCTTAACTTGAGCATATTCAGCATTGATATTTGTCATTTTGTAACACTGTCAAATGATTACAGTGATTATATTAAAGCACTTTACTGACCTATATAAATTTGAAACATAGTATAAATTATGTGCTTTATTACTCTATATAGTTATTGTCGTTGCCTCAATACTTACAAAGTTGTATGTAAAATATAGGATTGGTTAGGTAACCTGAACAACACATTTTCTTTCAGACATGATCACCATAAAAAAAAGTAAAACTGAGATTTACATGTAGATGTGAATGCATTATCAACATACTAGTACCCTTTTAGTTAACATTCACTTCATTTATATGTTTAACAATACAGTTGTTTATTTCTATTTAATATATCTTAATGTTAAAATAGATCAATACCTTAATGTTACTATACCACTTTCCCACCTCTTCTAGTATAACCCTAGCTACCATGAGAAAAGTGGGAAAACCCATGAATTAAATAAGCATAATAATGATAACTGCAAATAAAATTTTATGAACGTTTTGATCAGTATAAAACAGAATAACACTAAATAAAATAAGGCTAGCTTTGTCAATCTCCAGGTAAATGCAAATTACAAGTATGAATGACAATACATATCAGCAGTATGTGTGTGTACACATGCAGCACTCAGGCATCATGTACATATTATGGTATAGTAGTATGTGTGAGAATTCCAATGAAAGTATAGTCTTACAATAGGTTGTACTTTACTGTATTTGACAGGCAGGCCAAGCTGGCTGTTCTGTTTAAAAGTTTTACATGTCATTGACTGTTTAATTCTTTAAGATACTATGTAACATTAGTGTGGTTTGGGCTTATTTTTTCCAATGTAACTTCCCAGGAAGTTAGTTAAATACCTTATAGTTTGTTTGAAGAGTGTACTTAGTACACAAAAGAGTGAATAATAATTTTAACATTCATTTGTTCTTCATCACTAAAATGCTAGGACAGTTTGGGCAATCCAAACAATTCAGGCTGAAACTCTTCCATAGACATTAGGCTCAAAGTTGCTTTTGCAGACAGCTCAGGGTCTATTCGTGGATCAGGAATCATGATTACCTGCATTCCAGCAGCAATAGCAGCTTCCACTCCATTTGGAGCATCTTCAAAAACAAGAACCTACACATACACAAAAATAAAACCTGTCAGATATCTTTTCTCTCATTTTTAGCTGCAATGGGAAACAAAAATTGCAGTAAAAACTTTTGATTTGAAAGACTGTACTGTACTCTAACTTAATAAGCACAAATGTAAATCTGTTACCAAGTAGCTAGATGTCTGTGATTTGCCTAAAAAATTTGACTTAGCTAAGAACTAAATTAACACTGTATCTATACAAATTATTTTGAAACAACTTGCCTATTAAAAAAGTATTACAGTTACACCCTCTGATGTCCAAAAGTGTTGTTAATGTTAATCTTAATATTCTAAAGGTATCTTAATTGACAACTTCACAGATTAACACTGGCTTCTTTATGAATTAAGAAAACATTTCTGCTTCAGAAACATACAAATAACATTAGGCTCAAGTATTTTCCCTTTCTATAGGTAAGACTAAGTTAACATCATTGACACCAAAAAGAGAAGAAACCCTAACCAGTGTACACCAATTAGGAGAATAATATAGGCCTCCCAGTTGTGTATGCCTGCCTGCCAGTCTTTAAAATAAAGGCTAAATTTGACAAATTTCAGGCTGAAATAGCTAGTTTTAGTGAAATCTTTCTGGGGGTGTTATATTTGATTAAATCCTACAAAACAAATGTGTACATATTTCAAATCTAGTTGTTTCCCACCTTCTACCTAACAATCAAGGACAATCTTTCTTACCTTATAACTGATAATGCTCATATGTCACTGGTAACAATGAGTACCTGCTTCAGGGTACATATATGACAGATTCAACTAAAGAACTGAATTTTAAAGGAACAGCACAAGGCTTTATTTTTGTAAACATACATTTTTTTATAGGCTGAAGCATTAATAAACAAACTGTTATGGGCTATTACTACTTTTTGAGCAGGTTTTAAAAGTTAAGCCTCTGATAAACTGGTTTTTACAGATTCCTGGGAGATCTGAAAATATTAAATCTGTAGAATTAATTACAAAAAATTTGAATCTTAGATGAATTTTTTATCATAATTTATTTTTCAACTGCATTGGTAGTATAATTAATACTGCAGCTTTAAAGTAGTTAAACTGTATTTAACATATACCTTCTCTGGTGAAGGTGCATCATGAAAACGTGATGCACATGCAAGAAATATATCGGGAGCAGGTTTACTTTTTGTAACTAGCGAGTCTTCACTTCCAAGCACAATATGATGAAACAAATCAAAAAATTCTTGGTGGTGCTTTGTTTTTAGGTCAAAACTACTCTTCTTGGAACTTGTTGCAATAGCAATAGGAATCCTGTGTTTGTGAAGGTGTCGAACAATCCTATCAACACCTAAAGAGTAAATTGGAAACAAACTTGTAAATAACCCAAAACAACAATTACTAAAATATATTTGTAATCACTGCTACTTCTATTGCAGCATCTGTATGTGTACTGCTTCTTGTTTATAACATAAAAGATACGTCAGTATATCTTCAAGCACATTTTGTGTTATATAGATTATTTTGGAAAGCTGCATCTTCAGAAATAGCAACCCTTTTGCAGGACCCTCTCCAAAACCATTACTATCATCTTGAGCCCTAATAGACAAAGAGGTCTAATTTTTAAAATATATCAGTGAGAAACGAAAATCAATGATTTATTGAAGAAAATAACTTAAACATTTTACTTTAAATATTTTTCATAACTGGAAAATAGGTTATAACACACATAGTTAACATATAGAAATAAACAACGACTTGAAAGTTATTATTCATTAATTAATTAAAGACATAGGTTTAAAAGGGTTTTCTGCAAGTATGGAGATTGGAAAAGTCATTAATAAAGTCATAGTAGTTGATGTCCTTTACAGGATTTCTCTCAGTGGTGAGCCTAGACAACTAGTTAAGATTGTCTTCAACCACTGTAAAAAAATAAAGGGTTTTTCAAACATTTTAGAGTAGAAAAGGGTACTGTCTAATGCAACTGGAAAATACTGTGGAAAGTGTTATTCTGATAGAGATGTCAGTATTAAGATAAATGTTTTGAAGGTAATCTTTTCTAATTATTTTGGCAAGTACTGAAAATGACAGCCTTTAAATTTCTGTACATTGCTTTAACTGCCTGTGAAAATGAATACAGTCTTCATATGTTTCTTCAAAATCATCATTATAATTTTAATCTAATGATGCTTTCAAGAATCCAAATTTATCATCCAATCATGATGTTTTAGCTTTTACTTTCTTGATTAATAATGGGCATACACATCAGGTCCCATCAACTGCTATTACTTTGCATTAAAACTTAATATTATTCTTGAATGGTGTTTATCCACAGATACATATAGTATCATAGTTACACAAATATCAGTACTAGTTTCATAGATGCTTTCTAAGTGCATTAAACCTTTCTATTATGGAAGACAAGAAGAGTGACAAAATATGTTTCTAGCAGCTCATGCTTCACTTCAAGACTATGAGTTTCATTATGTATAGCTGGATATTCAGAACTATCTTCTAAATGGCATGTAAGAAAGATATTAATTACTTCTACATAGAAGTCTGCCAGTTTTTCATATGCTTCAGCTTGAGTTGCCCATCATGTAATGAAAAGATTATTTAAAACTTGGAAATCAGGCTTGAAGTGGCTCATTAAGATATTCCATTTTTGAGATGAGACAGAAGAAAGTTGTACAACTGTTGGAAAGTTGAAAATATCAAACAGCATCTTTACAACATTCTCCAGCACATAATTCTATGATATTTAAAAAGTGTCCTTTGTATGGCACTTAAATTGCAAGGTTATTATGCTCTTTTATACTAACTTGGAGACCATTATATGCCCAAAACACATTGCTACTATTATCGTAACTTCACACTCTGCAATTTTGTACGCCAATTGAGTGAGTAGTTATCTCACTCATAAAGAAATTTTCAAGTTTGTTTTATGATCTGTATTTGGAATGAAACCTAAAAATAATTATACAGAGGATCTACTGGGAAGAACATAATGTACAACAAATTCAGTTTATTTACATAAGAAACATCTGATGTTGAATCCACACTAACAGAAAAATGTTTAACAAGGTTCAGGTAAGTTCCAGTTTCATTCATAACCTTTTGTTCCATAAGTATAGTGAATTCATCACAAATATTACTTTATAAGTACAATGGATTTTCCCTTCCTGTATTTCTAAAATGTGCTTCGCGTTGTGATGAAAAAACAAAAACAAACAGTTAATCTCAGTGATCAATTCAAGGGACTCTGGAAAGTTCCCACTGTGTGGAAAACAGAAAGATTCATTATCTCCCCAGATAGCCATTCCTTGAATGGCCAATAATTTTCTGTTGCCAGAAATATTATAAAACGTTCCTCCATTAATAAACTTCATCTGTTTTTGGTCTATGTACTCATGTAATTTACTTGTTACAATAAACTCCAACTGTGTTGAATGGAATTTTTGTAGTCTTTAACTCTTTGTGCTGCATGTCTTCAGACACTAACCCCACACAAGCGAACTAAGTATGCACTTCACAAGATTGTGGTGATGAAATGGGAAATAACTGGTAAGACAGACTGAATAACAAAGAAATTTAAAAACTAATGATTTATAATTTCTCTGTTTAGTAGCTTTCTATTCAATGTGCCTTATAAAGATGTATTTTTTGTCAGGAAAAACTTGCACAGATGTAGTAAAACTACAATTTATATTCTGTTGAACTTCTAATAATAGCAATGTAATCACAAGTTGAGAGTTCATTACCTAGTCTGCAAGATCACTACTTACAGTTAGTTGTATTCTAAAGCAGTGCTCGGGCATAAAAGTCTTGTTAAAACTATAAAGTATGACTGGCATTCAAAATGTAAGTTACCAAAATAAAGTAAATAAGTGAGAAAGAAAATAAGTGAATTTAGAAAAATGGTTTTATATTAATTTGAATGAAGACAGATTACTTTAGTGACTGAAATTGCAAAAAATATGATAAAAAGATAAATAGAATGGTATTCTCAGATTCTGAAAAAAGTTTTTAAATTAAAAAATAAAATCATCAATATTTAATACTTCAAATTGCATTTGTGTGTGTGTGTATAATAGACACACACATATATATACATATGTGTAAGGTGACGTAATGGAAATAATTAACCCCTAAATACACCAAAAACAATTTTTACTTTATTAAATGGTGTTTACATGCTCTGAATGCATTTAATACAGAAACATAAAGTCTTCCCATTTTCAAAAACTTCTTCCTCTTGGCATCTAGAGGGAGATGTAACTACTACTTTTTGAGTCTGATTTGACCCCTGTATAGACTTTTTACAGAATTGATTTTGCATTGTTTAGAAGTTATAATTCTCGTGATAAATATCTTTTTTTTTTGTATTTTTTGGTGTCCAAAATAAGTGGTATGACTTTTTCAAAACAGATGGCCTGTTAATGATTGGACAAATAATTTTTCTAAATACAATTAACAATCGGTATAACTATTTAGTTTTAATTTAAATATTTTAAATGTTTGTTTTTAACTTGTTTATTTTCATATCAACCAAACAACTAGAAATAAATATATAAGCTTCAAAATCACTGGATTATAATCTGACCGAGTTACTCATTCACAGAATATACTGACAATATTTTAACTGACTTATTTAAGTTGCTTTAAGATTATGTGGTTGACACTGATTAAAGTAGTATATTATTATAGTGGCAGTCCCTTCTGTCATATAAAAACAACTGACAATTTGGGTACAGTGTTACACAGCTTACAAAAGTTAATTGGTATCATACCATCAGTGTAAAAGATAAAATCAGTATGGAGAAATTAAACACTGTTACTTGTTAACATAACAATACTATATTAACTGAATATATTTTCTAGTTTTATTAAAGATAGGTAAAACTTTTATTTGACAAAATAAATTGATGTTATTCTAATTTTTATGTTGTTTGAATTTAAATTTAGGCTACTTAAAAAATATCCAAAAACCCTAGGATTTTACTTTGTCTAAATACTCATTTGCCTCATAGATAAAACGAATTATGATTACTCTTTCTCTTGGTTAGTCACAAAGAATTTGAGTAACTGCTCAGTTAGTTACAATAATTAAGGCTTCAATGTTGCTTGAAACATGAAAGAAAAATACTGAATTGCCTGGAATAATAAGTCTGGAAAATTGTACATAGTATTGTTGCAACTGGTGACTGGTAAGTGAAAATATCTGTTTTTGTTTCTAACATTAAACATTGCAGTTGTGTAACTTGAGCACATGATAAATTTTCATGTGCAAAGTTGATGATTAAAAATTAACTTCATTCTAAATTATTGTACCTGAAATCTGAAGATAGGGTTCCCTGGGTTTTTCATATTTTCTCGCCACTTTATAAAATTTTGATGCACAAATTTTTAGGTAAATTCTCACTATATTTCAACAAGTGTATGTTACAAGTACTTTATAATCAATATTTCATCATTTTTTGACATTTATTTTGTGTAATTCATGAAGAAAAATGAATAAAAGAAGTTTGCCTATAAATAACCCACTTGTCAATTTTTTTTTCATAAGTTTTTCTACCTATTTTAAAGAATTATCTTTGCTATGAACTTATTATCCCTTGAGGATACACATTATCCATTTCTAGATTTTCAAGTGTTTTCCTTAGTTTTTTTACATGTTTTGGTTGTCACCTTGTTATAGTGCCACATCAAACACAGCTTTAAAAACAGCTATAAAGAAAGTTTAACTGTGATTGGCTAAAGCAGGAATTGTGTGTGATGAATAGGGTGCTAGACTCACCACCTGTAAGTTGCAAGTTCAGATCCCATCACCGAACAGGTCTAAATTTTAACGATCATCTGAAATGACTAAAATCTTCCTCGGATGACCAAATTAAACCCCCATGTTGTCCAACGGATAAATAGTGCCCTGGAACAGACCCTTACTCAAAACAACATCACAGTCTACTGTATGCTTATCCATGCCCACACTATACATGTAATGTTGTCTCCGATCCTCAACCAAAATCATTGGTAGTTTCACTAACTACAAACTCGAAAATTTGAATACCCACAAAAATATCATTTTGTCCATTTTCTTCTTTACAATATATTGTACTTTGTACAAGAGAAATGTTGATACAATCCACCAAATGGGATTGAAAATATTAGGAAAAGTTAGCTTTTGTGATTGGCTAATAATACTATTTTAGTCACTAAACTTTTCATACAACTCAGTTAGTTACATTACCACACTTTGTATTGTGTGACGTTGGTATACAAATATATGGGCTGGCAGGAATTTGCAACAAAAATGAATATGTAGGGAGAATAATTTATAGTATAGATGTTTACAATAATAAAACTAGCATGGTTGTCTAAACTTCTTAATGATAAACCTTTGGTAGGAAATAAAATGATCAAATTTACAAAATCAAACTTAGAATTTTCATAATTAATATTCACAGCTGAAACACTGACCCCCTTTCAATTGAACATGTATAGGCCTCAGGCTAACGTTAGATAGACATGACCAATTGAGTCTAGGAAATACAGAAGTTCTTTAATTCACGTAAAAAGTTTTACACACAACTCTTCAGACCTTTGTTTTTACTAGATAGAGTAGTTTTGTAGTATGGTATTCTAAGGTGAACTTGGGAGCTTATCCGATAAGCCTATAAAACAGGCGATTTATTCAAGATATGGCATTACAGAACAATGATAAAACTCTTAGACTAAATTTAAACTAAAGAATAAATAAAAGATCGAAAACGATGTGTAACACATATTGAAAACAATCTTTATTTACTGGTTTGAATTTTAAAGTTCAGTTTCAGTCAAGGAGTACAATTTAGCCATTGTTTAAGTTTTGTGGATTAAAATGATCAAACATTTTAGTCATGTCTTAATTTTTTGTATACTATTCACAGGTGGAGTCCAAACAGCGGTGTTATTTTACACAAAAAGACGCATATAAGTCACAAAAATGAAGTTTTACTGCAGTTACACCTTTCTTCCACCATCCTTCCGCAACTTGTTTTGTAGTATGGTATTTTAAGGTGAACCTGGGAGCTTATCAGATAAGCCTATAAAACAGGCGATTTGTTCAAGATATGGTATTACAGAACAATGCTAAAACTCTTATAGAATAAATTTAAGCTAAGGAATACAATAAAAGATCGGACACGATGTGTAACACATATTGAAAACAATCTATAGTTATTGACCAAGATAAAAGCGTAGTGTTTATGTGCTTATGCTACGTTTCACAACTGCTTCTTTCATATATATTTAGACCAGGATCATTTGCCAGAATACAAAGGTTTCTTAGGTTCTAAGAAACTTTACATTTACCCAAGCTACTACATGACCGGTTATTCTCATTCACATAGGTGGGACCGTAACTTTTAAATATTAACTGTAAAACCATTGAAGGGCACTGCTGTCGATTAACTGATACAAGGTCGCTGTAAATAATGTTCTTCATGGGAAGAAATAGATATTACTACTTCAGAAATGCTAAAGGAACAATGATAACTGGAAACAAGACCACCTTAACGGTTTTCTTTACCCTGTATTGTGTGTAAACCTGCACATGTTCAAAACCAATAGTAAATTTATACAAATTAATAATAATAAAGAAAGAGAAACCTATAGTATAGTCCTCTACAACATTTTCCCTTGTTTCTTATTTTATTTCCAGTATCACGAACTTTATTATGGAATTCATTCATTCATATCATACAACATTCATGAAGTACTTCATGTAGTGTACCTAAACGCGTGTGGAATGATGTACGAATTATTCTAGATGCAAATATTGTGATATACATTTATCTCCATTAGATGTCGCCACATACACATAAAGCTTTTAAACAGTCTTCAGCTCCTGCTCAACTGGCATTATAACCATCTTGTGAGACTTTCAGAAACTATGGTTGATAGCCTTGGCCGAGTCGGGTGCTGCCACCTGTGAGCCGTCAAACTCAAGCAATTTTCTTTTCAGGCAGATAATAACATACTAAGTTCGAGTGACTTAAGAATTTTTCGGTTAAAAACTTTCGTAAGTCAGTTTTAATTATTCGTGGTGTTACTATAGTTTATATCAATATACACCCAAACATATCTTCATCGCAGCATACCGAGAAATTCTTCCGGCCTCAAATAAATCTAACATATGTTATGTGATATTCTCTACAAAAATCTTGCTACGCTGCTAAATTTTGCGAATAACTTTCGTTGGACGTTTCACCTTGGAGAAAATCACTTAATAGCCCAGAAAATAATGGTTTTATAACCCTTCAGAGTGTGTTTTCGAACACCCAACATTTTCAGATTGTGCAAACTGCTGAAACGTTAAGCATGATGTCTACTGGCTCCAGCTGTCCTGTGTTACTCGAGTAGTAGTAACAAAATATAATCCATACATTCTGCCAATCATTACTATATGACAGTTCATATGACTTTCCTAGCTGTCGATCAAGATTTAATTGCTGCTGTATTGATTGAGAGGCTGATGTTGGTGGTTTAAGAATTGTCTCTGGACCTGGCATTTCTTCATCTAACATAGAACCAGGTATTTAAATGCTTATTCTGGAGTCCAGCCATTCCAAGCAGTTACCTGCCTGAAACGCTTCAGAAATCAGTCCAGATCTTCCTTTTCTCTGCTTCTAAGGAGTGAGTTGTTTGGCCTTGTTTATGGAAACCCACAGTCATGATCAAAATTCTTCTTGCTGACCTTTTGTTCTAAAAAGTTAGCAATAATCAATGCTCCAACAAGCAGTAGGCTACCGACCTCGGGGTGTAGAGCAATAAAGTGTGCTTAGCAACTTGTCTATTACTCTTCCATGGATTGCATTAACATCAACAGTACATATCCCAGCTGAAGGAGGCTCATCATTTCTCTGTGATCCACTTCAAATCTACTATCTCACATGCTAGTAAAATGGCTACAGTTGGCAGACAGCATCCAACAGTGCATTAGTCTTTCATTAATCTTGTTGAATTCCAATCAGTGCAGGGGTACAGCATTGGTCTTGAAGACTTATACAGACTTTCTCAACAGGTTTCAGACTCTCCACATGCCCCAATGACTCTCAGATCACGTCGCACAGAGGACCGACTCTTGAAGAAAGAACTCTATTGACCAACTATCTGGATATACTAGATGGTCACAGTTCTTCCTCTTCAATCAGGGGTCAAGGTGAGAATACAGTCATGAACCTTTGCAACAATGGCAAAATTCTAATACCAAGAAGACGACTTCTAGATACAACCACTCAGTCTGATTACCATAGTTGTTTAGTGAGTAACCCTCTAGGTCGAACATCCTTCTCGTTGTTGAAAATAAAATTTTTTCAAAGAATGTTTTAAAATAATTGCCAGAGTTGATGCTAAGGGGAGTTCACACTTCAATAGCAAGTTTTGCAATAACCAATAACCTGCAGTCATGGCATCAAAATATGTTTTTTTTTCTATTCTCTGATATATTCAGGTGAAATTAATTAACCCAATAGCTGTATAAGAAAAGTCCACAAAATTGTAGATCTGTTCAAAATATGGTATTACAAAACAATGCTAAAATTCTTAGTGGCTGAATTTAAGCTAAGGAATAAACATATTGAACACAATGTGTAGACATTGAAAACAACCTTTATTTTTTTGCAAAGACAAAACAAGTGTTTGTACCTGCTTACATTATATTTCATAGCCACTTATTTCAGATATATTTAGATCAGGATCATCCATCAGATTGCTTGAATGCAAGGTTTCTTAGGTACATGCTACCACATAACTAGTCATTCTCATTACACATAGGTGAGATCATAAACTTTAGATATTACCTGTAAAACCACTAAAGAACACTGCTGTCAATTTCTTGATACATGGTTGTTGTACTCACTGTTCTCCACATGCAGTAACAGGTATTACCAACTTTGAAAATGTCAAAGGAACAAAGGTAACTTGAAACAAGGTCAATTTAATGGGTTTTTTAATCTGTGTTATGCAAAAAACTGCACATGTTCAGAATAGTAATAACACTACATAAAGAAATAAAAACTTATGGTATATTTATATACCACAGTAGTTACTAAACGTCTGCCTTATATAACAGTTATTTCATGTTTTTTTGTTTGAAATTTTGTGCAAAGCTACACTATGGCTATCTGCACTAGTTATTTCTTGCTCAGTTTGTATTTAAAATTTTTCTGCCAAAGTCTAATAACACACAACCTTACCAGGAATAATAAAGTAAAACAACAATAATAAAGTAAAAACATTATGATATAACTGTGATTAAAAAAACACTCTGTACGTTAATTTATGTTACAACAGCAAGGTATGTAAAGAGGATCAGCACAATCCAAATGTTTAGTCCAAAGCCTCTGATCAGTTTGCTAGCTACATTATGTCTAAGTGTTAGCCTATTTGATAGAGAATCCTAGTTTGCAGATTAAGAAAACTATATTAGAAATGAAAACCTTGTAGTAAAAAGGTTAGGCAATAGAAACAACAAAAAATGTGCATTGAAACTAATTAAGATAGGAAGTGAATTCTATGCAGCATGTATTCCAATTTCTCAAGCATAAACAACACATTTTTATCTTCTGGTTTATAAAGATTTAAATTAACTTACAAGAAATTTTAGCACTGCAATTATTACTTAACAGATAATTTTGTTTTAAATAAAAAGGATAGTTTCATCAAGGTGTATTAATCCATATAAGAAAAAGTGTTTTTAATTTACAAATAATTTTATTTTTCAAGACAGCACTGTGTTGGTCATAACACTCTTAATAAGCTTGGCTAATTCCTGTTTGTTATCACTTACAGAAAGTAGTTAAATACCTTTTGTTATGTCAGGCACATTAGCTTCTCATTTTAGCCAAGCCTTGCAATTTCCATCTTCTTACTGTTGTTATTGACTAAATTTAAAATCAGATCATCAACGAATATTTTCAACATTCCTATTGATGAAATTAACATTAAAGTCTTCTAACAGATAGGCCACATTCAGCTTGAAAATAGAGAGAGAAAAACAGGAAAATTAGCAGTAAATTTGTGATATATTCTCATACATCCAACTAAGAATCAACAGTATGATGGTGAAATTCAATTAGTTTTGTTAGTCCTAACAAATGCTACTTTATTTCATTGTAAGCTAATAATTCTTTTTTACATAAAGAAATCTGTTTGTGCTACATATATTTAATGAATGTATGATAATAATGTCTCATTATATGAAAGTAGATTCATTGTTAGCAAAAACTTTTTACCTCTGCTCTCTATATAACTTATCATGTCTATTCAAAATGACCTTGTTAAAGGATAAAATATTTAATATATTTTATTTTCATTTTATCTAAGATAATTATTTAATTGTGTACTTAACTATTTAACCTAATCATACAACAAGATATTTGGTATTTTTAATATAAATAACATAAGCAACACACAGTCCTGATGTAACCTTTCCTAATTTAGAACTGCTGACCTGAGGGAGGGCAACCAGTCAGCACTGCCTCATACATGGTTACCCTTAACTGAGTAGTAGGATATTTACTGTTACAGTTACAATTCCTCTACAGCTGAAAGATAGAAGCAATGGCATGTCATGGCTTGACCCATGAACCTTCCAACATGCAACCTGGCATGCTAACCACTTAGCTCCCTAATCAAACAATGAACTTAAGTGAGGGATATTGAAGTTCATGCAACAAAAAGCACATAATCTTGTATTAGCTAAGATAACAGGAATACTTTTACCGTATTTTAAGATTTCAATAAATCTTAACACAAGTTCACAACTGCCATTAGTATAGCAATAAAATTCACATATATTGCATAGAGCTTTCAAATGTTTGAACAAAGTGAGTACAATATTTGTAATAATATTAGTGTCAGAACTTGTATAAATGTACATAGTTTGGTAATAAAATATGATAATCAGATATTTAAAATTTCAAACAGTGCAGGTAAAGGGCACTTGTTTCATCTGAGCTGTAAAACATTTATCTGTAATGAAATATTCACTACTAATACTTATAATAAGTGCAGATAAAATCACACTATACACTTTTATTTCTCAAATCTTATAGTAAAGTTATTCAATGTGAAGCAATGAAAATATGAAGAGTTATGTTTCATAAAACTTTCTAGCTCATAAAATTATGATTAAAGAAACTATGCTACAATTTTTAAACCTCTATTCAAACACAATACAGGGTGGCCCAAACTTATCATTCCTATTTTAAACTTTAATAATTAAATAACTAAAGAAATACAACCATGAAGTTTTCAACATCTTGTAGCCCAACTCAAACAGTTTTTATTAACATGTTTTTCACTCCAGTGAGTAGTGTTGCCCCATAAAATGGTAACCATGCAAGAAAAAAGCTCATTCTGTCATTTGGTTTGCAGGGTAGGCCAATTCTGTGGCTTCTGCATTCCCCAGACATTGTGTATCGCAAACATTATGGAGCTAAAGACTAGGATAACAGGCACCATTTCCACTGTAACTGTAGACATGTTGCAGTGAACGTGGTGTGAAATCGAATATCAGTTAGACATGCTGAGTCCCACTAATGGTCCACACATAGAAGTCTACTGACGTGTCAATAAAAACTGTTTGAGTTGGGCTACAAAATTTTGAAAACTATATGGTTGTATTTCTTTAATTATTAAATTTCAAAAGAGGAAAGATAATTTTGGACCATCCTGTATATTTTTCAAAAGTTTGATAAGAGTTAGGTTATTATTATTATGAATTATTATCTATTTACAAACAACTTTTACAGAGTTATACTAAAACAAATCATGACCAGTAATTAATATTTTGGCAAGAGAGAAAAATTCTAGATAATCCTATATTTTACATAGATTTTGCAATTCTACAAATTTATTCTGAAATCTGAACTTTACTCTTAGTCAAATTCTTATCCCTAGATGCTAATGAGTGTAACTTCCATTAATTTTTTATTCTAAAGTTTGTAGCAAGAATTGGAGCACTAAGTAATTATAGGAAATTGGGTTAACATTAGTTATTGTCCAACTTTTCTGCTTACATTTTCTTATCAAAGATATCTGACCACTCACATACAATCAACATAAGTTTTGTCCTAAAACCTAATCTAGTATAATTTCATTTAGTTTGTTGAGGCTTTAGTACTTGCTTAGCTGCCACACAATCATGAATTATTATTACAAGAAAATGGGGACAAAAGTGGGATCTAACACGCCATGAATACGGAAATGGTGGCGCACATACAGGCGGGGGCACAGCATCTAAGCCATGCATACACAAGCACTCTGGACAAGTCCTCTGGGCGAGTCCAGCGACATCAGCGCGAGAGCTTCCTTGCGGCTTTCACTGCCACGCATCATAACATGCCTCGCTCG